GGCAGAGTAGGCCATGGTGGCCGTACCTGTCAGCCACCACCTCGCCGCAAATACACCTATATCTGGTGTGGATTGGGGCAGCAAGGCGGAGGGCCACAGCAATTCGGAGGGCGTGTGGTGTGAGACGCGTGCCAGTTGCCGACATTGGGGTTGCTAACAGGAAATCCCCTGCATGTGGTGCTGCTACTGCTGTGAGGCGAGCAATGTCGTGTTGTGTTGTTGCAGCACCCAGGCACTCTGCAGCAACTTGGTCTACAATGGGGCCATCCCAGCTGGATTGCTTGTGGGCTTTTGGGGATGGTGGTTGAGGTGATTGGCCTGCACGAGAGGCCCACTCTGTGGCACAGCGTGTAAAATTGGGATCATGTACACCTGCCAGCTGATGTAAGTGGGCAGGTAGAATTTCCTTCACAAGGTCGTCGGATGCTGATAAGGAGGACAGGAAGGCTGGAACAGCGATTTGCGTTGCTGTTCGAACTCCGAGGCCCCCAAGTCTTACGGGAAGAGAGGCTTGTTTCCACTGTAGGTCATCGAGAGAGAGGTTAAGGGCTTTTTCTAGCATTGATTTCAGTAACCGGTCATACTCACTTAGTTTTTGGCTACTGTAAGATGGTGAACACCTCAGAAAGTAGGTTAACCTGGGGAGGGACAGACATCTGGTGATGAGGTAGAGTGCATCATGAGCATCAATATCCTCAATCCTCCCATCCATCCTCTTAAGGTCGGCGATTTTCTTATCAAGGACCTCATCGATGGCTTTCAACCCCAGGGGAGCTCCTAGGAGTGTGCTGTCTTCAGGTTTAGTTTTATGGATATTTGGCAGAAGACCCTCTATTCTCTCTACGATGCCCTGGTTGGAACATATTATTTCACATTTAGAAGGGTTCAGGGTGAGGCCTAAAACTGCACCTTGCTCCTGGATTTTTCTGATGTCCTCCAGGAGGGAGTCTTGGGAACCAGCTAGGGTACCATCATCCAAGAACCAGATGTTAAGCTCGCTGGACAGGACCTCTGTGACTTGTTTGATGACTAAGCAGAAAAGGAGAGGAGCAAGGGGGTCACCCTGTTGGACGCCTTCTCGCGAGTCAATTTCATGTTCGCCAAAAAGTAGCTTAAGATCCATACTGTAGCATGAATGTACAAAAGGGTAGAGGGAAGGGAAATGACTATGAACCGCACGGAGTACAGCATCCCTCCGCACCAAATTGAAGGCATTTTTGAAATCTAGCTTGATAAGGGCCTTTTCGTCTGTGATGTTGGCGATGAAGGCTCGAGCTGCATGGGCTGCCGCCTCACACCCTTGTGGAATGCCAAACCCGAGCTGTTTTGGCTTCAGCATGTTGGCCGCTGCATCACTAACTGTTCTTGCAGCTGCCTTTGCGACGAGACGCCGGAGAGAATTGCCCACAGCTATTGGCCTGATCCCTCCATCCTTTTTCTTTAGAGCACAGAGAGATGCTCCAAAAAAGATAGGTCTTATGGACGCTGGTATGTTGCCAGCTAGACATGTGTTGGTGAATCTGGTTAGTTCCACCAAGAGGTTCTTTGCAATGTCACCCAGTGCAGGGTTGAGCATTTGCTTGAGGTGGTTGGGTTTTAGTCCTGTGAACCCACCTGCTGATCCTGTAGGGAAGGACATGGCTGCTTTATGGACCACAGATTCAGCCACCCAGAGAGGTTCTGCTCCGGTAGCCCCCACTTGTACAATGTCGTCCTCACGCGGAGCCCTGGGTGGGTGTTTCTCCCTTAGGGCTTGAGCTGTTGCGGCATCTCTGTCGGCAATTGAGTCCTCACTGGTGATGACTCGTATTGCGCCAATAGTGTTTCCTTCTTCTATTTTCTTGGTGACTGATGTTCTGATTTTTGATGTCTCGGATATGCCACTGTTGCTCTTCCTGCCGTGGGTGTTTCTCGCGCGAGTGGGAAGGCGCACCTGGTTGTCCTCCCTGGGAAAATCATTTATAGCTTTGATGACTGAGGCAGCTAAGGTTTTGTCTCTCCTTGCAGGGGTGGCTAGACATATGTTGCCAAACATTAGGAGGTTGTGCCATGCTTGGGTCGTTCCAGGAGAGTCGTTGACCTTTCTCAGGAGGGCAGATAATTTGGCTGCTGCATGGGGGCGGGCTGCTTTAGGGATGTGTTGCAAGGTTCTGGCCGATGTTGCTTTGATAGCTTCTAATAAATTTTCTGTGGGAATGAAGGTCTGGGAGGTGTTTTGCCTTACGGGCGGTGTGGGCTGTTGATTGGTGTTCTCCCTGGGAGGGCGCCCAGAACCCAAACACCTGGCTCCGTTGTGGGAATGAAAGCGCACATTATCGTCCCTCAACCGGATATAGCATACCCTGTCACACGTCTGACATCTACCTTGTCTACCCCTGCTTGATGGCTCATCTTGGCTTGGAGAAGCCTGGCTATCTGTTGAGAGCTGCGACATGGGCGGGCGCTGGGCGGGCGCTGGGCGGGAGGGTGGACGGCGGGTGGAGACTGGAGGGTGGGCGGCGGTTGGAGGCTGGGGGGCTAGGTGATCAGCTGGCCGTGGCACTTACTACTCAGATGAGTGGTAATACATATACCACCTCTATACAAAGTGTGGGTATACACCCACTACACAATATGTGGGTATACATTGGGTGGGTGGGTGGCGTAGACACACATGGGAGCCTCCCGGCTTCTATGGGCGGGTGGCAAGGTGGCCTCGTGGGTGGGGAGGCGACGTGGTGGGGTGGGTAGGAGGGGGAGAGCAGGTACTTCCCGGCCTGGGCGCTGGGTGGGGGCGGGGGTCAGGGCGACACTAACACTGGTATAATTTCCCCGTATATCACTGCACAATAATGAATGAATCACACACTTGTAATCTGACTCACTGCACGTGTGATGTACTCACAATATGATAGATATGTTGCGCCAATTATCGCTGACAACGTAACTTGTTCAACAAAACTTTCAAAAAAGAAAAACACAAAACACTATTTGGCACACGCGTAACCCCCACCTCTCTCTCCTGACCACACAACACCCCTCACTCGTCCATCCTGGCCCCTCACTCCAGCCTCCATGACTCCACACTGCCAACCCACCTGTTTTGATAAGTTTTCACATAGATGGTACACCGTAGGCACTTCCGGCCACTCCCACGTCTGCTTGGTGTATTCACGGTGAATATGGTTGAGTCTTGGTACGGTGAGGCCAAGATGTCTCAGGGTAATGGCTGAGAAGGCAGCAGCTCCTCCGCCACACGTCCGTCCCCTATATATATATATATATATATATATATATATATATATATATATATATATATATATATATATATATATATATATATATATATATATATATATATATATATATATATATATATATATATATATATATATATATATATATATATATATATATATATATATATATATATATATATGCGAACAAGCCTGAATGGTCCCCAGGACTATATGCGAATGAAACTCACACCCCAGAAGTGACTCGAACCCATACTCCCAGAAGCAACGCAACTGGTAACTACAGGGCGCCTTAATCCGCTTGACCATCACGAAAACCGTCAAAAGGAAGTGATAGCCGAGGCTATTTGAGCCACTTCCCCGACGGCAACTCGGATGGTAATCTTGGGCATAGCATTTCACCAAATCACCTCATTCTTTGGGGCACACGTGAGGAACACAAATGCGAACAAGCCTGAATGGTCCCCAGGACTATATGCGAATGAAAACTCACACCCCAGAAGTGACTCGAACCCATACTCCCAGAAGCAACGCAACTGGTAACTACAGGGCGCCTTAATCCGCTTGACCATCACGGCCGTCAAAAGGAAGTGATAGCCGAGGCTATTTGAGCCACTTCCCCGACGGCAACTCGGATGGTAATCTTGGGCATAGCATTTCACCAAATCACCTCATTCTTTGGGGCACACGTGAGGAACACAAATGCGAACAAGCCTGAATGGTCCCCAGGACTATATGCGAATGAAAACTCACACCCCAGAAGTGACTCGAACCCATACTCCCAGAAGCAACGCAACTGGTAACTACAGGGCGCCTTAATCCGCTTGACCATCACGGCCGTCAAAAGGAAGTGATAGCCGAGGCTATTTGAGCCACTTCCCCGACGGCAACTCGGATGGTAATCTTGGGCATAGCATTTCACCAAATCACCTCATTCTTTGGGGCACACGTGAGGAACACAAATGCGAACAAGCCTGAATGGTCCCCAGGACTATATGCGAATGAACCCTCACACCCCAGAAGTGACTCGAACCCATACTCCCAGAAGCAACGCAACTGGTAACTACAGGGCGCCTTAATCCGCTTGACCATCGCGGATTAAGGCCGTGATGGTCAAGCGGATTAAGGCGCCCTGTAGTTACCAGTTGCGTTGCTTCTGGGAGTATGGGTTCGAGTCACTTCTGGGGTGTGAGTTTTCATTCGCATATAGTCCTGGGGACCATTCAGGCTTGTTCGCATTTGTGTTCCTCACGTGTGCCCCAAAGAATGAGGTGATTTGGTGAAATGCTATGCCCAAGATTACCATCCGAGTTGCCGTCGGGGAAGTGGCTCAAATAGCCTCGGCTATCACTTCCTTTTTACGGCCGTGATGGTCAAGCGGATTAAGGCGCCCTGTAGTTACCAGTTGCGTTGCTTCTGGGAGTATGGGTTCGAGTCACTTCTGGGGTGTGAGTTTTCATTTTCATATATATATATATATATATATATATATATATATATATATATATATATATATATATATATATATATATATATATATACATATATATATATATATATATATATATATATATATATATATATATATATATACATATATATATATATATATATATATATATATATATATATATATATATATATATATATATATATATATATATATATATATATATATATATAATATATATATATGTTTAGTCATTTATTTACTCAAATGACTTGATAAAAAAATTGTAACTAACTAATGTTGTATTGTTACAGGGCGCACCCAACGTTACCCGAAAGGCTTAATGAGGATGTTCTTAGTGCCGTCTCTGGTGGCTGTCGTATTTTTCATCACACAGTACATAGAAAAAGAGGTAAGTAGCTAAAAACTGACTCTTGCAGCTTCCTCTGTTCTAATGTATTATCTGATTTTATTTGTGATATTTCTCTTCAAATGAGGTTTTATTTTAAATTGTTGCTTCAGTCGCTAACAACTGTTACTTGCGTCCGAGTGGTCACCCACTGTTTCAGTTAGATCATGTTAACGACCCGCAAGAGGTCTGAATTGGAGTTCGACTATACTGGCTGAATATATAGTGTTGCATTGTACCACTGCAGACATTAACGGAACGTTAAGCTATTGTAGCATTGTACTGTTATTATTAAGTTTTGTGATTAAATGTTATTGTTATCAAGCTGTGCCTTTCAGCCTACTCCTTCTCTTCGTCTCCAGTATTAGACTCAGCCACATACTTGAAGATGATTATATGCTGTTCTGGATTCTTCTGGACTCGAACCAATTTCATAGCCACACACACACACCAATATAAATTTGGTGTGGGACCCCAGTGAGCTACCGTTATAGCTGGCATCATCGGTTTTAGGAGCTCCACGACCCAGTGGATATACAGTGCTAAGGATTTGGATTCCGGCGGCGACTCTACGCCATCTACTTCAGTTTTAAAGTAATAAGCTGCACGCAGAGCACCTAGTGCTGTGGGTGCTGTCCTTTCTGACTGAGGTCACATGTATTAGTGCCATCCCAAATAGACAATATTCTCACATCTTGTGCTTATCGTGGGGTGATAAATTTGGTTCCAGCCCATGACCGTAGACTCAATATAAAAGCAGCCTTTCACCTTGAGTAAAGTAAATATTGTTGCAGAGTTTTAAACAGGAACACGCACACGCACACGCACACGCACACACACGCACACACACACACACACACACACACACACACACACACACACACACACACACACACACACACACACACACACACACACACACACATACACACACACACACACACACACACACACACATACACATACACACACACACACACACACACACACACACACACACACACACACACACACTTGGATCCCGAACCAAGATCGGGATCGAAGAGTCAATGCTCGATCCTGCAGACACAACTAGGTGAGAACACACACATTGAGAGCTAAGCTGCTGGACGTGGCAACAAGAAACTTTCTAAGCCAGCACATCAAGGAACCAACAAGAATGAGAGGAGAAGATGAACCAGCATTGCTTGATCTGATATTTACCCTAAATGAGTGGGATATAAGGGAAGTCAAGATGGAAGCACCCTTGGGAATGAGTGATCACAGTGTATTGAACTTTGAGTACCTGGTAGAGCTCGGAATTATCCCCCCCGAAAAAGGGCTAGGAAACAAAAGGATGGCTTACCGAAAGGGAAATTAGGAGATGAGAAGCTTCCTAAAGGAAATACCTTGGGACACCTCAGAGCTAAGTCTGTACAAGATATGATGGACTAAGTCACCCAAAAGTGTCAGGAGACAGTAAGCAGATACATCCCGGCCCAAAAGGAAAAATCCGAGAAACAAAAGAAGAAACCATGGTATAATAGGGCATGTATGGAAGCAAAGAAACTGAACAAAAGGGCATGGAGGAACTTCCGGAATAACAGAACACCAGAAAGCAGAGAGAGATACCAGAGAACCAGGAATGAGTATGTCAGGGTGAGAAGAGAAGCAGAGAAAAGTTATGAAAATGATATAGCAAACAAAGCCAAGACCGAACCAAAGCTACTCCACAGTCACATCAGAAGGAAAACAACAGTGAAAGAACAGGTAGTGAAACTTAGAACAGGCGAGGACAGGTATACAGAGAATGACAAAAAGGTGTGTGATGAACTCAACAAGAGATTCCAAGAGGTCTTGACAACAGAACAAGGTGAGGTCACTGTGCTAGGAGAAAGGGACGTAAACCAGGCGGATTTGGAAGAGTTTGAAATTATGAGAGAGGAGGTCATGAGACACCTGCTGGATCTGGATGTTAGAAAGGCTGTTGGTCCAGACGGGATCTCGCCATGGGTACTGAAAGAGTGTGCAGAGGCACTTTGCTTGCCACTCTCCATAGTGTATAGTAAGTCACTGGAGACAGGAGACCTACCAGAAATATGGAAGACGGCTAACGTGTCCCAATGTACAAAAAGGGCGACAGGCAAGAGGCACTGAAATACAGGCCAGTGTCCTTGACTTGTATACCATGCAAGGTGATGGAGAAGATCGTGAGAAAAAACCTGGTAACACATCTGGAGAGAAGGGACTTCGTGACAAATCGCCAACATGGATTCAGGGAGGATAAATCTTGCCTGACTGGCTTAATAGAATTCTACGACCAGGTGACAAAGATTAAGCAAGAAAGAGAAGGCTGGGCGGACTGCATTTTCTTGGATTGTCGGAAAGCCTTTGACACAGTACCGCATAAGAGGCTGGAACATAAGCTGGAGAGACAGGCAGGTGTAGCTGGTAAGGTGCTCCAGTGGATAAGGGAGTACCTGAGCAATAGGAAGCAGAGTGTTACGGTGAAGGGTGAGACCTAAGATTGGCGTGAAGTCACCAGTGGAGTACCACAGGGCTCTGTACTCGGTCCTATCTTGTTTTTGATATATGTAAATGATCTCCCGGAGGGTATAGATTCCTTTCTCTCAATGTTTGCGGACGATGCCAAAATTATGAGAAGGATTAAGACAGTGGAGGACTGTTTGAGGCTTCAAGAAGACCTAGACAAGCTGAAGGAATGGTCAAGCAAATGGTTGTTAGTGTTTAATCAAAGCAAATGTAATGAAATGAAGATAGGTGTAGGGAGTAGGAGGCCAGATACAAGGTACCATCTGGGAGATTAAATACTTCAAGAGTCAGAGAAAGAAAAAGACTTGGGGGTTGACATCACACCAGACCTGTCTCCTGTAGCCCATATCAAGAGGATAACATCAGCAGCATATGCCAGGCTGGCTAACATAAGAACGGCATTCAGAAACTTGTGTAAGGAATCATTCAGAACTTTTGTATACCACATATGTTAGGCCAATCTTGGAGTATGCAGCCTCAGCATGGAGTCCATATCTAGTCAAGGATAAGACTAAATTGGAAAAGGTTCAAAGGTTTGCCACCAGACTAGTACCCGAGCTAAGAGGTATGAGCTACGAAGAGAGACTACGGGAATTAAACCTCACTTCGCTGGAAGACAGAAGAGTTAGGAAAGGGACATGATCACCTCATTCAAGATTCTCAAGGGAATTGATAGGGTAGATAAAGACAGTCTATTTAACACAAGGGGCACATGCACTAGGGGACATAGGTGGAAACTGAGTGCCCAAATGAGCCACAGAGATGTTAGAAAGAACGTTTTTAGTGTCAGAGTGGTTGACAAATGGAATACATTAGGCAGTGATGTGGTGGAGGCTGACTCCATACACAGTTTCAAGTGTAGATATGATAGAGCCCAATAGGCTCAGGAATCTGTACACCTGTTGATTGACGGTTGAGAGGCGGGACCAAAGAGCTAAAGCTCAACCCCCGCAAGCACAACTAGGTGAGTACTCACACACACACACACACACACACACACACACACACACACACACACACACACACACACACACACACACACACACACACACACACACACAAATAATAATCCTTTTGCTTACTGTCTTCTAACAGGCTTTTCTCTCTCTTGTCAGTATTGTGAAGGAGAGGAGGAAGTGGCCACACTGACGAAGGAGCTGCTGGAGCTGGAGGAGGACATGAGCTATGCTGTGCTGGACGACGACGATGACCAACAAACACAACACCACTCGGCTGAGCGTGACTCTGACAAGGAGGGACCCACACATATAGTGACCTCCACAGCAGTATGCCTGCAGGACCTGGGACTCATGGCCGCCTACCTTGGTCTACATGCTGGCCGCGTACCTGCCCGGTACCGCCACCCGTTCACCCAGAGCAGCATCTACTCCTCCGTGGACAGTGTAGCCAGGGCCCAGGCTGCAGCATACGCCATGTGGGGCGTCCATGTTTGTGACATACGCCGTCGCCCTGGGCGCCTCAGTCAACTGTCTCACCACCGTCGACAAGGAACACCTTCCATGTGGCGCCGCACAGTGTCTGACTACTTCCGCCACCTGGCCACACCCTCACCTCTCCCAGACCATCACTTGGTGGGCTCCTGTCCACACCTGTCTCACCCTCCTGTCTTGGCCCACAACCCCTTGGCTTATCCTCTCCGGTATGCTGTCTCTCTGCCAGCAGCACTTGACACCCTGCCCTCTCACTCAGAGGACCGGGCACTTGACACCCTACCCTCACACTCAGAGTACCTGGCACTTGACACCCTGCCCTCACACTCAGAGGACCGGGCACTTGACACCCTGCCCTCTGACTCAGAGGACCTGACACTTGACACCCTGCCCTCTCACTCAGAGTACCTGGCACTTGACACCCTACCTTCTCACTCAGAGGATCGGGCACTTGACAGCATAGCCCCTGACTCACAGTAGCTGGCACTTGACACCATATCCCCTTGACCCACAGTAGCTGGCACTTGACACCATATCCCCTTGACCCACAGTAGCTGGCACTTGACACCATATCCCCTTGTCCCACAGTAGCTGGCACTTGACACCATCTCCCCTTGACCCACAGTAGCTGGCACTTGACACCATATCCCCTTGACCCACAGTAGCTGGCACTTGACACCATATCCCCTGACTCACAGTAGCAGGCACTTGACACCATATCCCCTGACTCACAGTTGCTGGCACTTGACACCATATCTCCTGACTCACAGTAGCTGGCACTTGACACCATATCCCCTGACTCACAGAAGCTGGCACTTGACACCATATCCCCTGACTCACAGTAGCTGGCACTTGACACCATATCCCCTGACTCACAGTAGCTGACACTTGACACCATATCCCCTGACTCACAGTAGCTGGCACTTGGCACCATATCCCCTTGACTCACAGTAGCTGGCACTTGTCACCATATCCCCTGACTCACAGTAGCTGGCACTTGACACCATATCCCCTTGACTCACAGTAGCTGGCACTTGACACCATATCCCCTGACTCACAGTAGCTGGCACTTGACACCATATCCCCTTGACTCACAGTAGCTGGCACTTGTCACCATATCCCCTGACTCACAGTAGCTGGCACTTAACACCATATCCCCTGACCCACAGTAGCTGGCACTTGACACCATATCCCCTGACTCATAGTAGCTGGCACTTGTCACCATATCCCCTGACTCATAGTAGCTGGCACTTGACACCATATCCCCTGACTCATAGTAGCTGGCACTTGTCACCATATCCCCTGACTCATAGTAGCTGGCACTTGACACCATATCCACTGACCCACAGTAGCTGGCACTTGACACCATATTCCCTGACTCACAGTAGCTGGCACTTGACACCATATTCCCTGACTCACAGTAGCTGGCACTTGTCACCATATCCCCTGACTTACAGTAGCTGGCACTTGTCACCATATCCCCTGACTCACAGTAGCTGGCACTTGACACCATTTCCCCTTGACCCACAGCAGCTGGCACTTGACACCATATCCCCTTGACCCACAGTAGCTGGCACTTGACACCATATCCCCTTGACCCACAGTAGCTGGCACTTGACACCATATCCCCTTGACCCACAGTAGCTGGCACTTGACACCATATCCCCTTGACCCACAGTAGCTGGCACTTGACACCATATCCCCTGACTCACAGTAGCAGGCACTTGACACCATATCCCCTGACTCACAGTTGCTGGCACTTGACACCATATCTCCTGACTCACAGTAGCTGGCACTTGACACCATATCCCCTGACTCACAGTAGCTGGCACTTGACACCATATCCCCTGACTCACAGTAGCTGGCACTTGACACCATATCCCCTGACTCACAGTAGCTGGCACTTGACACCATATCCCCTGACTCACAGTAGCTGGCACTTGACACCATATCCCCTTGACTCACAGTAGCTGGCACTTGTCACCATATCCCCTGACTCACAGTAGCTGGCACTTGACACCATATCCCCTTGACTCACAGTAGCTGGCACTTGACACCATAGCCCCTGACTCACAATAGCTGGCACTTGACACCATATCCCCTTGACTCACAGTAGCTGGCACTTGTCACCATATCCCCTGACTCACAGTAGCTGGCACTTAACACCATATCCCCTGACCCACAGTAGCTGGCACTTGACACCATATCCCCTGACTCATAGTAGCTGGCACTTGTCACCATATCCCCTGACTCATAGTAGCTGGCACTTGACACCATATCCCCTGACTCATAGTAGCTGGCACTTGTCACCATATCCCCTGACTCACAGTAGCTGGCACTTGACACCATATCCACTGACCCACAGTAGCTGGCACTTGACACCATATTCCCTGACTCACAGTAGCTGGCACTTGACACCATATTCCCTGACTCACAGTAGCTGGCACTTGTCACCATATCCCCTGACTTACAGTAGCTGGCACTTGTCACCATATCCCCTGAATCACAGTAGCTGGCACTTGACACCATTTCCCCTGACTCATAGTAGCTGGCACTTGTCACCATATCCCCTGACTCATAGTAGCTGGCACTTGACACCATATCCCCTGACTCATAGTAGCTGGCACTTGACACCATATCCCCTGACTCATAGTAGCTGGCACTTGTCACCATATCCCCTGACTCACAGTAGCTGGCACTTGTCACCATATCCCCTGACTCACAGTAGCTGGCACTTGACACCATATCCCCTGACTCACAGTAGCTGGCACTTGACACCATATCCCCTGACCCACAGTAGCTGGCACTTGACACCATATCTCCTGACTCATAGTAGCTGGCACTTGTCACCATATCCCCTGACCCACAGTAGCTGGCACTTGACACCATATCCCCTGACTCACAGTAGCTGGCACTTGTCACCATATCCCCTGACTCATAGTAGCTGGCACTTGACACCATATCCCCTGACTCACAGTAGCTGGCACTTGACACCATATCCCCTGACTCACAGTAGCTGGCACTTGTCACCATATCCCCTGACTCATAGTAGCTGGCACTTGTCACCATATCCCCTGACTCACAGTAGCTGGCACTTGTCACCATATCCCCTGACTCACAGTAGCTGGCACTTGACACCATATCCCCTGACTCACAGTAGCTGGCACTTGACACCATATCCCCTGACCCACAGTAGCTGGCACTTGACACCATATCCCCTGACTCACAGTAGCTGGCACTTGTCACCATATCCCCTGACTCATAGTAGCTGGCACTTGACACCATATCCCCTGACTCACAGTAGCTGGCACTTGACACCATATCCCCTGACTCACAGTAGCTGGCACTTGACACCATATCCCCTGACTCACAGTAGCTGGCACTTGTCACAGTAGCTGGCACTTGACACCATATCCCCTGACTCACAGTAGCTGGCACTTGACACCATATCCCCTGACTCACAGTAGCTGGCACTTGTCACCATATCCCCTGACTCACAGTAGCTGGCACTTGACACCATATCCCCTGACTCACAGTAGCTGGCACTTGTCACCATATCCCCAAACTCACAGAGCTGGCACTTGACACCATATCCCCTGACTCACAGTAGCTGGCACTTGACACCATATCCCCTGACTCACAGTAGCTGGCACTTGTCAGCATATCCCCTGACTCACAGTAGCTGGCACTTGACACCATATCCCCTGACTCACAGTAGCTGGCACTTGTCACCATATCCCCTGACTCACAGTAGCTGGCACTTGACACCATATCCCCTGACTCACAGTAGCTGGCACTTGACACCATATCCCCTGACTCACAGTAGCTGGCACTTGTCAGCATATCCCCTGACTCACAGTAGCTGGCACTTGACACCATATCCCCTGACTCACAGTAGCTGGCACTTGTCACCATATCCCCTGACTCACAGTAGCTGGCACTTGACACCATATCCCCTGACTCACAGTAGCTGGCACTTGTCACCATATCCCCAAACTCACAGTAGCTGGCACTTGACACCATATCCCCTGACTCACAGTAGCTGGCACTTGACACCATATCCCCTGACTCACAGTAGCTGGCACTTGTCAGCATATCCCCTGACTCACAGTAGCTGGCACTTGACACCATATCCCCTGACTCACAGTAGCTGGCACTTGTCACCATATCCCCTGACTCACAGTAGCTGGCACTTGACACCATATCCCCTGACCCACAGTAGCTGGCACTTGACACCATATCCCCTGACTCACAGTAGCTGGCACTTGACACCATATCCCCTGACTCACAGTAGCTGGCACTTGTCAGCATATCCCCTGACTCACAGTAGCTGGCACTTGACACCATATCCCCTGACTCACAGTAGCTGGCACTTGTCACCATATCCCCTGACCCACAGTAGCTGGCACTTGTCACCATATCCCCTGACTCACAGTAGCTGGCACTTGTCACCATATCCCCTGACTCACAGTAGCTGGCACTTGTCACCATATCCCCTGACTCACAGTAGCTGGCACTTGTCACCATATCCCCTGACTCACAGTAGCTGGCACTTGACACTTGATGTTAATTTTTTACCATTTTGGAAATTTTTTATTCATGTACCAGTCTTAACACTTGGAAGGTTTTTTATTAGTATATATGGACTTCGACTTAGCACAAGAGTGCTTTTAATTCAATATAATAAATTATTTTAATTTTAATATAATAAACCATTTATTATATTAAATTAAAAGCACTCTTGTGCTAAGTCGAAGTCCATATATACTAATAAAAAACCTTCCAAGTGTTAAGACTGGTACATGAATAGTTATACACAAGCACACCAGTGTTAAGACTTGGTGCAGGAATAGTTATACACAAGCACACTAGTGTTATGACTGGTACAGGAATAGTTATACACAAGCACACCAGTGTTAAGACTTGGTGCAGGAATAGTTATACACAAGAACACCAGTGTTAAGACTTGGTGCAGGAATAGTTATACACAAGCACAC